CTGGATGATCAGAACTCAACTAGAAGAAGAAAGAAGAGGGGGGATTAAAAAAAGAGTAACCCACTACAATTTGCTGTAGTTTACCTATATTTATGGATGTAGTAGCTCAAAAAAATGGAACCATTCTTTACAGTGAGGCTCATTCCCATCCCCTCAGTACACAGGGTTGACAGGATGGGCAACTTAGACATTGGCTACCCAAAATGGGGGGAGGGGGGCTATAAAGGCAAGAAGTGACTGGCTTACAAGCTTTCAAGAGGGAGCCTAGTTCCTGATGGGGCAGGGGTAGGTAGACTCTCCACTGAATGATTTCCACTCTGTTGGGACCAGGCTGGTGAAAGGAAATGGGGATAAGACTCTTGTGGTACAATAGTGAATAATTGCCATCAGGAGTGACTGTGAGGGTCAGAAATGTAGCGATAGATCTTTTTTTTGACAAAAAGTGGGGAATGATTGATTTTGCAGTCCAGGAGCGGAGGTCCCTAGAACCATCAAGTGAGAAGAGCGGAGAGCAGAACCCTACCCAGAGAGGCAGAGATGCCAGGGATGGAGACAGAGATGATGATGTGGACAGATGGAGCGGCTGGGGACACTGGAATCAGGGAGGGAGAGGGGCTATGTGCTTACAGCCAGGGTGGGGGCAGGCTTTTGGGGGGTACCCTTTGGTTATTTGATGATGCACAGAGTGGATTGTAATCATTGCAATGAAAGGAAATACAATAGAATGAATGTAAAACTGATGTTCTCCCATGTCAACCCACATAATTAACAATAAAAACTTAAAAAAAAAAAAAAAAACCCAAAACAAAGAACCAATGGTTTTTAAGAAAGATGTCCATGCTGCACTGAAGTCATTAGCAAAAAAACAAGTCTCCAGGTATAGAGTACTAACTGAAATGCTACAGTACATGTGCAGTGCTAGAAGCAATCACTATTCTATGCCAAGAAATTTAGATGACAACCTCTAGGCTAACCTATTAGAAAACACCCATATCTGTGACCATTCCCCCCGCCCCCAAATGCTAACATTACTACATATTATAATTAATATCACATACAAGTAAAATTTTGCTGGAAATAAATAAAGAATGGTTGCAGCAGTACATTGAGGTGTCAGAAACTGAAACAGGATTTAGAAGAGGCTGTGAAGCAAGAAATATCATTGCTGATGTCTGATGGATCTTGGCTGAAAACAGAGAATATCAGGACTATCCAAAGGCATTCAAGTGTGTGACTCCTAACAAACTAGAGATAACATTGCTAAGAATGGGAATTTCAGAATACTTCATTGGGCTTATATGGAACCTTTACATAGACCAAGAGGTAGTCATTCAAATAGAACAAGGGGTTACTGCTTGGTTTAAAATCAGAAAAGGTGTGCGTCAGGGTTGCTTACTTTAATCATACTTATTCAGTATGTCAACTGGCCAAACAATCCAAGAACCTGGACTATATGAAGAAAAATGTAGTATAAGGATTGGAGGAAGGCTCATTATCAATCTGTGATATGCCGATGGCATAGCCTTACTTGCTGAAAGTAAAGAGGACTTGAAGCACTTGTTCACAAAGAGAAAAGAATATAGCCTTCAGTATGGATTACAATTCAATGCAAAAGAAAAATAAATCATTAACCACTGGAGCAATAAACAAGATCATGATAAATGGAGAAAAGATTGAAGTTGTTAAGGATTTCATTTTACTGAGATTCACCTCAATGCTCACGGAAACAGCAGTCAAGAAATCAAAGGACGTATTGCATTAGGCAAATCTGCTGCACAAGACCTTTGTGAAGTGTTAAAGAGCAAAGGTATCACTTTGAGGACTAAGGTGCACCTGATCAAAGTATGGTATTTTCAACAATCTCATATGCATATGAAAGATGAACTATGAGTAAGGAAGACCAGAGAAGAATAGATGAATTTGAATTATGGTGTTGGTAAAGAATATTTAAACTACCGTGGACTGCCAGAAAAACAAACAAATCTGTTTTAAAAGAATCACAACCTGAAATCTTAGAAGAGAGGATGGTGAGATTTCATCTCTCTTACTTTGGTCCTGTTATCAGGAGGGACCAAACTCTGAAAAGGACATCATACTTGGTAGATGGTCATCGAACAAGAGGAAGGCCCACGATGAGATGGATTGTAATAGTGATTGCAGCAACGGACCCAAACATAACAATAATTGTAAGGGTGACAGGACCGAGCAATGTTTTGTTTTGTTGTGCACAGGGTCACTATATGAGTCAGAGGTGAGTTGAGGGTACCTAGTAACAATAGTTGTTGTTGTTAAACACCATCGAGTCGGTTCCGACTCATAGTGATCCTGTGTAGGGTTTCTCAGGCTTTAAATCTTTTATGATATCTTGGTGTGGTGCTGAAGGATAAATGCTGGACCACAAGGTTGGTTTGAACCATAAGGCTGGTGGTTCAAACTCACCAGTCTCTCCTTGGAAATCCCATACAAGGTCACTATGAGCTGGAACCGACTTGATGGCACTTGAAAACAACTTCCTTTTAAAGGAGAACTGGTAGCATAGTGGATTATGAGCTGGTCTGCTGAGCTGCTAACTGCAAGGTCAGCAGTTCAAATCTATCAGTTGCTTCATGGTAGAAAGATAAGATGTTTTGCTGCAATAAAGATATACAGCCTCGGAAACCCCATACAGGGTCTCCATGAGTTGGAACCAACTTTGTTCTGTGGCACACACTACAGTCCCTTTTATGCTTTGACATCACACCCTTCCCTAGGCTCTCTCATCGACGCTTTCATTTAAATCTTGACTGTTTTCTCAGAGTTCCTTTCCTCATGTGGACTCTTAGGCTTCTTGCTTCAGAACTCCGTTTTTCTTTATCATGGAGAACCTTTCATCTGGCCCTTGTTTACACTGGCTGCTCAGAAGTCATAACATTTCCTACCAATGAGATTCGTCTGGGCACTGTCAGAAACAATCGTGCAAAATGCCTTAGACAAGAATTTTGCCTCTTCTGTAGAAAGCAGACTCAAAAACATTTGTTAGCAAATTACCTTCCTTTATATATTCTTTCTCATATCAATATGCATTGATCTAAGCTGGCATTGTATTTCTACATATGAGAGAAAGATGAAGTTTTCTGCTGCCAAACAGATTTGTTGTTGTTGTTAAATGCCATCTAGTCGGTTCCAACCCATAGCGACCCAGTATAGGATTTGAACTTCCAACCTTGTGGTTAGCAGTGTGTGCTTATCCTATGTTGTTGTTAAGTGTCATTGAGTCGGTAGCAACCCATAGCGACTCTGTATAGTGTTTCCGAGGAGAGACTGGTGAACCTGAACCGCTGACCTTGTGGTGCAAACTGACTTGGCAGTCCAGCACATTAACCCAAAGCACCACATCTTATCCTATGTTGTTGTTGTTAAGTGCCATCGAGTCAGTTCTGACCCACAGCGACCATGTGTAGGGTTTCTGAGGAGCAGCTGGCAAGCTTGAACTGCCTACCTTGCAGTTCAAACTGGCTTTGCAATCCAGTGCATTAACACACAATGCTACACCAGGACTCCTAAAAAGGGACTGTTGTTGTTAAGTACCGTGGAGTTGGTTCTGACTCATAGTGAGCCTGCACAGGGTTTCTGAGGCTGTACATCTTTACGGGAGCAGAAAGCCTCATCTTTCTCCCGCAGAACAGCTGGTAGTTTCGAACTGCTGACCTTGAGGTTAGCAGCCTAATTTGTAACCAGTGAGAAAGTCTTCATGCTATCAATTATAATCAACTCCAAAGCACATAGCAACAACAACATAATACAATTGAGGAGTCAGCAAATTCTTCCTGTTAAGGGTCAGGTGGTAAATATTTGCACCCTAGTGAGTCTTTGGGTCTCTGTGGCCACTAAATACTCAATCCTGGTGTAATGATGGAAGCAGTCACAGACACTAAATAAAAATGGATGTGACTATGTCCCAGTAAAACTTTATTTACAAAACCACTGAATTTGTCCCACAGGTCATATAGTTTGCAGACCCTTGGTATAGCTGGTTAGTTTTTAGTTCCATGGTGTTTTGGATTGTGGCATAATTTTCCTGTTCATCCCAAAAAATTCAATAACCACTGTGGTGAGGCTACCCTGATGGGTGGAATGAAGGGGTAGTATGGTAAGCACAGTAATGGAGGGCAGAAAGAAGACAGCATTCATTACAGACCAGCTGAGGTGGAAAGTTATTTCAGTGAAAGCTGGACATCAGAGGAAGAGTAATTCATCAGTCTCCACAGGATCCTTCTGAGACTCTTGGGGACATCTGCACATTTAAGAAGATCTAGAGGAGCCCTGGTGAGACAGGGCTGTGGGTTAACACACCAGACTGCAAAGCCGTTTGAATTGCAAGGTCAGTGGTTCAAGTTCCTTGGAAACCCTATATAGGGGTGCTATGGGTCCGAACAGACTCAACAGCACTTAACAACAACAAGAGGACTTAGAACAATGCCAGGTGACAGATGTCAGGGTTCCAAAGGAAAGAGAAGAGCTGGCCATTTCTTGAAGGTGTATAGTATCCGTAGAGATATATAGGAATGCTCTGAAAACATTGTGTGCACACAGCACAGGCAGACGCATCACCCCAAATACCTGGAAATAATATTCCAAGGAAAGAAAAAGCAGTTTCTACAACCACAAATACGCAAGAGAATATTTCTTCATATATATTTACGTGTGCTGCAAATATAGCCATGAATATAGTAGAGCATACAGGGGGTAGGATGAAGAAACCTTCTGAGCCATAACCAAACACCTAGAGGGAATGAGTTTCTGGGGCTGGGTCACAGAACCATAGTCTCTGTATGTTATACCACAATCAATTGGCATAACATAGTCCATAAAGACAATGTTCTACATTCTACTTTGATGAGTAGGTCTGGGGCCTTAAAAGGTGCATGTCTCGCCATCTGGGGCAAAGGAGAGTGAAGGAAGTTAAAGACACAAGGAAGCAATTAGTCCAAAGGACTAATGGATCATGGTAGTCCATAGGTCTAATAGACCCCAGCCTCCACAAATGAGCCTGAGACCAGAACTAGATGTTGCCTGTCTACCACGGCTGACCAATCTGAAAAGGATCACAAGAGAAGGTTCTGGATAGAGTGGAAGAAAAATGTGGTACAAAACTCAAAAATCATAAAAAAGATGAGGATTATTGGTCTGACAGAGACTGGTAGAATCCCTGAGACTTTGGTCCTTAGACACCCTTCGGGTCTGGACATGAACTCATCACCCTGTGGTTCAACTCTCAGTCAAATGACAGACACTGTACAATAATAAAGAAAAGAAAACACTCAGTACAACAATCAACCATCTGAGAACCCAAAGAGCAGAATTTGCCCAGTGATAAAACTCAGAAACAAGGAAGGAAAGAAAAATGAAGGGAACAGCAAACAGGGAGGAAGTAGGAAGAGCGTTAACACTGTAGGAATACCAATCAATGCCACAAAATGAAATGTGAGTTGTTGCATGGACAACCATGTGCTCTGTAAACTTACACCAAATTACAATACAAGTAATTGATTAATTAATTGGGGGAGAAGGGTGTCTTCTAGCTCCTGAATATTATTATTATTTTGGTTATCAATGACTCAATGGATGTACGGCAGTATAATATTCAAACCTGATTTTCCATTTTTGATATACAAGTTGTTGACAAGAGTTTGAATTCAATCTGTGTATTAGGTACCTGTTATCTTCCTGATTCGGTTGAAGAGTGTGAGGATGAACAGAGCTGCATCTCTGAAGATTAAAATGGATAACGTCTTCTTTATTTTTTTCATTTGTATTATAGCTAATTGGCAGGGGAGAGAAAACAAATAAGGAAATATCTTAATCATACAAGTTTCTGTTTTGAGAGAAGAAATGAATACAATTTACCGCAAACTCCTGATACCATCACAAGACATGTAGCAGGAAAAAATGCACCCATATCCTACCTTTTACTGCTAAGTAAAAACTTGGATTAGGAAATAGTACTAACATCTTCCTATATATCAGAAGACTCTAAACTGTTTAGAGATAAGTGTCCATACCTTAACAGCACATTTCACTATTGTAAGATTGTGACACTTAGACTTCACTGTAATCTTACACTGTGGCTTCCTATTCCTCTGGATTGGAAATATTTGTTCTGTGTTCCATACACACAGAAGAGCTGTCATGATGGCATAAGAACTGAGAGTATTTAATTATGTCTTAATTTCAATAACTATCACATGTAAATAATCCCTGTAACATTCTCTGGCACTTACCCAAAGTAAGGCATTCAGTTAAGTGAGGTAGCAACAATTATCCTTATTTTATAGGCAAGGAAAATGAAGTATCTTACTCACCTCACATCTAGTAAGTGACTGAACACAGGTCTTATGCACAGCCCGTGCTTTGAACACACATGCTACACTGCTTCTTTGGGGAGTCATTTAATAAGTCCTTCTTTTAACATAAGTGATAAAGAATACGGTACTTTTAGATTTAAATATACATTGGGACCATAAAAAACTGTAGATACTGGAAGACTGTGCAGGTCAGAAACCTGCCAGAGAAGGAAAACGAAAATATTTTCCACTAAAATAATCAATAGAAAAGTAGAAAAACTATATACTGTCCAAGGTTGGAAACATGTAAGACCTAGAAAGCCAAGACAATTTCAACAAGTTCTGGCTTCCACAGGTCTCACTATATTAGGGATTTAAGGAAGAAAGCACAAGCGTTGACTCACTTCACCTCCAACAGTTAATTGCTCACCATTCAGTTATTCATTTCATGGTAATCAGAATGACGACAGCACTGGAAACTAAGAGGAAGACTGAGTCAGGGGTCAAAGCTTTCACAGGATGGGGAAGGGCTGATTTGAGATTCATGGACTGGAAGAGGAGAGGGTTGTACAGCAAGATGTGACAAGCTTCAAAGGAGTGGTGATCAAGTGTTAGAGGGTAGTGTTCTGTAAGTAGTCTTGGGGTGAAAACATTGACCCTCACTTCCCAGCCCCAGTGAGTCATTTGGAATGAATGAAATCCCAGTTGGTTAATGGTGGTTAATGTGAACATGGGGAAATGCAGGGAGTCTTTACAGAGGGTGGTCCAAGTATGTCATTCCAAGTATCGTTCCATTGAAATTAAAACGTTTGATCTGACTACAGATAAGAAGCCTGTTTTATACAGATAGGGGCACCAATTACAACCGTAAAGAAGAGGTAAGTAAAATGAACTGTGTATGAAGAGATCTATGCAGTAGTATGCCTCAGTGATCAACGCATGGTTCAGCTTGATTTGTTGTTGTTGTTAAGTGTCGTCGAGTTGGTTCCAACCCCTAGTAACCCTGTACAGGGTTTCTGAGGAATAGCTGGTGCGCTTGAACCGCCCACCTTGTGGTTCAAACCGACTTTGCAGTTTAGCACATTAACCCACAGTGCCACACCTCGCAAATTATGGATGTAGTAAATACACAGTGAAATATCAAAATGTGCAGATAACAACTTATATTGTTCACTAGTAAAATGTCAAGTCAATGAGGTAAATCACAGAAAGAACTTGTGAGCCTGTGTGAATGGACAGGAAAGTCTTCACTACTGACTATATGGACAGATGCCTTTACAGAAATATCTAAATTTTTCTTATAAGCTAATAACTCAATGTAGAGTCAAAAAAAGAGATACTACATATAGTTTTCTAGAGAGATACTAGCTCTACATACTACAATAGTTAAAACAGACCCAGTAAGATATAGAAATCAACAAAAACAATATATTAAGAAAAAAAAAAAAAAAAAAGAAAGGAAATGTTATTGTAGCTTTGTACTATATGCAGTTCTGGATACTGAATTCCAGCGACACAGAATTGGATTCCGAAGGGGGCAACAAAAATTACCAAATGAATATGCATAAAGAGTTCAAGATTCTGAGAAAGATACCTAGGTTAGAGGCCTAACCTCTAACTACTTTGTACTGGTGTAATTTTAATCAAGTCACAGAGTTTCTCTGTACCTTGGGGTCTTCTCTGCTTTAGGGCAACAAGATTATTAGATGTGCCTACCTCACAGAATTGCTTTGAAGACCAAAGAAGAGAGTAAATGGAGGGCATTTTGTAAATAAATTGTTGTCCAGATGCTAACTGTTGTTATTCTTACTCTTAATCTTGTCTAATATGTAAGTATGTTGTTGCTGTTGTTGTTAAGTGCCGTGGAGTCAGTTCCTACTCATAGCGACCCTGTCCAGGGTTTCCGAGGCTGTAAATCTTTACAGGAGCAGAAAGCCTCATCTTTCTCCTGCAGAACGGCTGGTAGTTTCAAACTGCTGACCTTGCGGTTCGCAGCCCAATTCGTAACCACTACGCTACCAGAGCTCTAGATCAAAATAATTAAATAAAAATAATTTTCAGTGTTTAGTACTCCTGGTGTGGTGCTGTTGGTTAATGTGCTGGATGGCAAAGTCCACTTGAGCTGGGAAGCCTGCGGTTCAAGTTCACCAGCTGCTTCTTGGAAACCCTATACAGGGTCACTATGAGTGGGAATCTGACTCGACGGCACTTAACAACAACAACAGGTCATTATGAATCAGAACTGATTTAACGGCAAAGGTTTCAAGGAGCTTAGTGGAGACCAAGTACAGAATGTGGGCAAGTTAACAGAGTGTGGGCAAGACCAATGGGCACAGAGTAGTTAGATGCCTGAGCCTGAAAAACTGAGGACTAAGAAAGTACGTGGCACTGTACGATCACCACTAGACTGCTAACTATAAGGTCATCAGTTCATACCTACCAGCAGCTCTATAGAGGGCTACTATGAGTTGGAACCAACTCGATGATACTTAACAACAACAAATAAAGATTGTTGTTGTTAAATGCCATTGGGTCGGTTCTGACCCATAGTGACTCTGTATAGTGTTTCTGAGGAGCAGCTGGTGAGCTTGAACCACCGACCTTGCAGTTCAAAAGGCTTTGCAGTCTGGTGCATTAACCCACAGTACCACACCAGGACACAAAGAAGGATAGGAAATCACTAATTATCTGACGTAAACCTAAAACAGATTAGCTCACCAAATTCCATACTGCTGAGATTATATGGAATTATAACAATGGGCATCCTTGAAATCTTGGCTAAATTTAGGGCTGTATTTAACTTGGTAAGGAATTGTAGCAGAATTTCCAGAGCAAGAAGCATGACAGATATGCTTATCAACATCCTTCTTTCTCCGGGCACAACACAACCCCTGGGAGTTATCGCTGATTGATTACAACACCGTGTCTCAGCATCCTTCCAACACAGCTCTAGAGATGGCAGAGACCAACACACACAATTCATCTTACTTCCTGGGTGTTTCCTACCTCACTGACTAGCTTTTGTGGCTAGTCTTTTCACTGCTAGCCTGATTTACTGACCACCAGGGGTTATAGTGGTCCCATTCCCTCCCTAAGCAGGGCATTAAAAGTATGTTTCATTTAAAAAATAATCCTAAACAGTCTAAAGTTTTACTGTGATACTAAAGTGAGACAACAGTGAAAAACACAAAGACACACACACATACAGAAATAATCTCACCTTCAGGATTTTGCAAGACACTGCTCCAGAGGCCTCCCCTAATCATCCTATTAAAGAACACATCTCCCCACATTTCTAACCCCTCTTATCCTGTGTTATTTATATATATATATATATATCCTTCGGCTTTTGTTAAAATTAAGTTAATGGGCTCCCTTTCTCCACTAAATAGAATGTAGATTTCCTGAGAGTAGAGATTTTTGTCAGTTACCTATGAATGCACAGCAAGCCTTAGAATTGGTCCTGGCACAAACAAGTGCATAATAAATGTTTTCTACACTAATTCGTGCACTAAACACATGATGAGAGAGTTACCACAAAGGAAAAAACTGAGGGTTCTGAACCATGAAGTGTATCAGAGTGGACTCAGCCTGCACCCTTCCAGAGCTGGTTGGACCCTGGGCCTCACATGCTATTTGAAGCTACTCAATTCTGGTTTGGGCTCTTAAGACAAACTGCCCTTCTGGTTAAGTGACCCCATTAAAGTCTTCTTTGATATTCAGTATCTCTCACGGGACATGTTCTTCCTAACCATAAGGATGCATCTGAGGAAAGTCTCAGATGCTGATAAGAAATAATTGAACCTCCCTATGGAGTCCAGGTGTGGCGCTGTGGGTTAATGCACCAGACTGCAAAGCCATTTGAACTGCAAGGTCACTGGTTCAAGCTTACCAGCTGCTCCTCGGAAACCCTATACAGGGTAGCTATGGGTCAGAACTGACTCAACAGCACTCAACAACAACAAAGGAGCTCTGGTAGTGTAGTGGTTACGAATTGGGCTGCTAATCTCAGGGACAGCAGTTTGGAATTACCAGCTGTTCCACATGAGAAGGATGAGCCTTTCGGCTCCCATAAAGATTTACAGCCTTGGAAACCCTGTACAGGGTTGCTACTCCACGGCACACAGTCACCACCACCACCATAAGTCATACTAGGAGTCCTGGTGTAGCGCTGTGGGTTAATGTGCTGAACTACAAAGTCATTTGAACCACAAAGTTGGTGGTTCAAGCTCACCAGCTGCTCCTTGGAAACCCTATACAGGATTGCTATGTGTCGGAAATGACAGTACTTAACAACATAAGTCATATTTATCTCATCAGCTTTACCTACTCATCAAAGTATGACCAAATGATCAATCCAGGTAATTTTGACAGAAGAGATGTCTGTGCTCTGATTATTTAATATTCCTCATTTTAGTTAGGAGTCCTGATGTGGCATGGTGAGTTAATATGCTGGACTGCAAAGTTGGTTTGAACC